CATTTTAAATCTTCAAGTATTGTCAATTGTAAAATAAATCCCAATGAAATGATTTATTTCATTTAAGCCTCTATTTGACCTTGACTTTGACTAGTCGAACCTCTAACTTCGAATAAATATTCTTGACTTTTGACTACTATAAAATGGGGTGTAACAGTTTTAAGTCCAAGCTTCCGCAATACACATCTCATGTCAGCTGATTCAGTGGGGATTATCCCCAAGTCGTGGCCAATCTGTCCAAGTAGCAGCTCGGAAAATTAATGCAAACATGACTCTTTGGTAGGACAAAATTACCTTCGGCATGGGACGAAGGCTGAGAAATGAAAAAGGTAGTGCAGTTACAAAATCAGAAGGTCCTAAAAACTATTTTTTGATGCTAGAAATTCATGGGAAGGATAATTTCTAATTTAGGATTTGTATGGGCTGTTTTTGGAAAGGTAATGAAATATGACCTTAGCATGTTGACATCATGGGTAGCTAGGAATATGTCCGCTTGCCATTCAAGAAAAGTAAATTGCTTGGACTTTTAGGTAAGTAAACATCCATTATTTTCATGCGTACGTTACATCGTTAGATGTATTTATGTGTTATCAAAAATTGTTATTATATGAACATGATATTTGATTATTATGTTTTATATGATTAATGCTTTTCATTACATATTTATGCACGTCAATACATTCACAAGTGTAATATCCTGAACTTCATGTTATACATTTGGCCAATATGATTCAAACATTTCATGCTAATTACATTGTCAGTTGCATCAATTTCCTAATTGCTTTCTCTTAAACCGTGCATTCAATCATCAAGGCTTTAAAATCTTTATATGGTGATCATCTTTGACTCCTCAACCTAGGTGGTGAATTTTACATTGAGCTATGATTGAAAATTAGGTTAACTAAATGTTGGAGTTTGGCTTGGTAAGAAATGAAAAATTGAAAAGGTCGAAAATTAGTATCAACAAAGGTTCAAGCTTTCTATTTGGTTGATCAAGATCACCTTAAATCTCTTAATGACCACTTATTTACCTCCTAGATAATATATTAGCTCCTTTATCTTGTACCTAAGTTATTCCAAGTGAAAAATAGAGTGAAAGAGTTAAAGAGAAATAGAAATAGGAAGCTAGAATTTCTGGACTGCTGAGTTACTTCACGATTTTTAAGTTTGTATCAATTATTTCTTGAAGGGTTTATAATTTCTTGAACATCTGAACTTTCTTGTGACTAGGTCGGAGTGTTGTTAATGATTTTATGATGCCAAAATATGGGTAATAATTACAAGAATTTGAAAGAAAGTAATCTAGACAGAGATGAGGATTTACTAGAAGTGAATGGTTTCAATCTTGATTTTGGATGATAGTTGGAGTGTAACTTATACCTATCAATATGAATGTTCTTATATGCAAGCATGAAGTATAGAAATAATGTTAATGGCCTAGAGTTTTGTTGGTAGCATACTAATAAAATGGAAAATCGAAACTGTCACAAGAAAAATAAAACTGCTTGATTTGGTGTGGTGAAAAAGGGATTGTTTTTTAGGCTGAAAACACTACACTTGTCAGGACTTTAGGTGGTAAAAATTTGGGAGTCGTTGGATATAGTTAAGGGGGTGAAAAAGGATTGAAAAAATAGTTGGACGGTGATGGAAACTTAAAAAATAGATTCCATGGACCAAAAGGAGGAATCCGCCCTAGTCAACCTTTACGTATCCTTTAATAATCTCTTAGGCCTAGGAAATAGATTCTAAGGAGTACTAGGTTATTGACAACAATTGGATGACGTTGACGTCATAATTGGACTCGAAAAATAGTGAGATTTATGAGACTAGTTTGTAATGCCATTGGTGACTTGAAATGATAAATTCGTTTAAATTATTTTGGTGTGAATGGACGTATTTTGGAATTGTGTGTGTTAAGGTTATTAAATTGAGGATTGTCTTTAAGGGTAATATAGGTGATTTTTTGATGTTGAACGAAAAGGAAAATTGATACACACTCCGTAGGAGCTTGCCCACATAAGGGAGAAAGGTAAGTAAAAATCCATTTGCAATTACGATGCAAGAACCTAATAATTGTGATGTGGTAATATTGGAAGATTTACATAACTTTTATAAGAGGTTCATTGCATATCATATGATGGTTATGGTCATTGAGTATGCGGTTGCGATACCTATTGATAGCGATTTTCATTAAATATGTCATTCATGATTCATATGCATGCACATCATGTGATCATGATTGAAAATCCTGCATACGAAATATGGTTTCAAATTGAGTTTTCTCTATAAATATTTTATTGACCACTACCAGGGCACCGAGGCATACTTATGTGATATATTGGCCATCGCGGGTGATACTTCCTAGTTGATTGCAAAGGTAGACAGGAGATAAGCATTTGGTGATCACAGGAGGGGGTGAATCACTCAACTATGCCCTTGTGATATTATGGATGTGTTTGAGCCCATTATTTGGCATTATAATGAGATGAATAGTATTTTTTTGAAAAATGAGTGGTTGAAAATTTTTTTATTTACATGTAATATTATTTTATTGAAGATTGTGTGGTTAAAAGTAGGAGAGAGAAAATTTTAATTTAATGTAATGAGAAATAATGGGGCTCAAATGGGGGCTATGATTGTTGGTGCTGCTGAGTGGGAGACTTCTTAGGTGATATAGGGGTAGTTAGGGGATGGGCCTCCAGTGGTCATAAGAGGATGGTTCACTCGCCGATGTCGATTTCATATTGACCATTTGATTATTGATATTGATATTCTGTAGAGCTTTATCCAGTGCATAGTAGGTGGGTCAAGGGCCTAATCAAATGAAAGATTTCAAATGAAATGATTTCGAATCGACTTTCATGAATATTGGAATATGATGCATCTTTATCTTGATGTTTTAAGAAAATGGCAGAGTGTCATATATCGTTATTGCTCATGTTCATGACATGCATGATTTTTGCTTAATAAGCATTGGTTATGTAGTTCTTACATTGTAGGTGAGCATGGAATTACATAGAAAGTACGGCTAGCTGTGGAGCTCTTACAGGATTCCAGAGTTCGATGTACATGGATGACAACCTGTAGGGTTATTTTGTGAGCTGCTATTTTGAGCTTATGGTCTATTGTGTTATATGTTGGGGATTCTGCGTTGTATATCTTTTGACATAGCATGTAGACATGTTTATAACCTCAGAATATATATGTTGGATTATGGCGATTTGATTTCGGTTTCGATATACTATATGATCGTCATAGATGATTTAGGCGTTAATAAACAGGGACATAATTGGATGCTTATTTCATTTTATCAGGTCGAAAAAAGAATGCATATGTGAAATTCTATGTCTAGGTCGAGTGATCAATTTCATTTCCACACAGCTTAATGTATTGCTAGGTATGGTTATCTATGTGAATGGGGGTGTGACAATAAGTATACATTAAGTTTCAAGAAATAAAAAACTTTCCAAATGTCAATGAGTCAACGTATATATATTGGCATGCATGAATATGATATGAGAAACATTCCTGTATGTCTATAACATGAAAGGTATAAGCGGATTATGGGGCATGGAGGACCAACACACCTGATCAATGTTAAATGTTGAATGATAAGTTAACCATTTTGCTATACTACCGATAGAATGAATCGGTTCCGAATAATACTTAACCATTTCATTCTGAATGGCTAGGCAATATACTAAGTGAACTCATGATGTTAGTCTTAAGGTTTTTAAAGAAGTGAAAGAAATGCAGATACATATTGAGAAAAATCTATTTATTTACTTTGATGTTGATAAGTGCGTTTTTATGCACTTATTTAATTTACAAACATGACTAAATTTTGAGCAAAGTATTTGAATTGTGGCTTAATTTCGCTTGATTTGTATGTCATAGGCTATATTGATGGAAATGCTAAAATCTACGCGAAAAGATTTGAAAAATGGCCAAAACGAAGCAAAGTGAAAGTTCAAGAACTAAATGCAAATACCCAAAAGTTGAACTAAAAGGCGAATCGAGAAGTGATAAGTATCAACTCGGGGATAATGCAAGATGATCAGAGGAAGAAAGACAAGAAAAAGGACCAGAACGAAGAAAAACGAAAGTCTAGGGACTAAAATGCAATTATCTAAAAGATGAACCGAGGAAGTAATCGAGGATTTGATTAAGCCAAGTACCAATTGGATACTAATTTTGGTTGACAAAATGAGAAGAATGAAGAAACGAGGTCAAAATGGGAGAAAATAAAGTTTGAGGACTAAAATGGACATTTTTGGAAGAACTACTACTATGCGACCACATAGAAGTAATTCCATGAGGTCACAAGGAAGGTGACCGAAACATTTTCAAGCCAGAATTTTCTTCTATGCTATCGTATAGACAAAGTTCAGGGACTGATGCTGCAGTTTCCTGTTTTCGTTAAAACTCTTTTGGAACTCGATTGGGACGCAATATAAAAACCTAGACTCATTAGATTTTGGGGGAGAACGCATTGGGAGGAAAGAAGACACATGTTGAAGAAGATTTTGAGCTAGAGTAACGAAGGATTTCATGAAAATCATCGAGATTTCACGCGAATTCATAACCCGGTGATGTTTTATCTTCAAGCAAATATGTATTCTGTTATTTTCTGCATATCCTAGTACTAGGAGATCGATGAACCATGTGATTTGATTATTTGAACGATTTACATACATTAAGTGATTTTCATAATTAAATGCACGTAATTATGTGATGTGTGATGATTTATTTCTTGCACTGAGGAGAAGTAAAATAAATTCGACAAGGTATATCATCATAGGGTCTGATAGGGAATAGAGATATACCACTTTACGTGAATCTTTAAATGTTCATAAAACCACATGCATATCTATCATAGAGATATAAGCTAGTAGTAAATGAGAATATGTTCAATATTGCTCAAGAGAGAGTGTGGGATAGATTTTTTTTTTTTTTTTTTTTTTTTTTTTTTTTTTTTTTTTTTTTTAATAGTAAGAAAATGCAATTGAACACAGAGATCTCTTTCCAAACAAATTAAGCAACTTGTCATCAAACATTCAAAATAACGGCAGTTTAAACATTCCTGTCCGATGGAAAACGGCGACAGATGAAACAGGAACTAATTGAGCACAAGAGTACGAAGAAAGTAACATAACATAGGTGATCCTGACGAACAAAATCTCTCTTGTATTTCTAAAATGATGGTAGATTTCTCATTTCAGAGGAATGAACCTTGAAGAGTGGGTGGCACCAATGCCGGGTCTGCCATGCTTGACTGGCTTGTATGAGATTGAGAACTCAGCAAGATAGTGACTTATCATTTCAGGTTTAATTTCAACTGTATTGAAGGTCTTGCCATTGTACACTCCAATGACACTCCCGATCATCTCAGGGACGATGATCATGTTTCGCAAGTGAGTTTTGACAATTTCAGGCTTCTCACCAGGTGGGGCCTCACGTTTCGCCTTACGCAGCTTCTTGATCAAAGCCATGGGCTTCCTCTTCAAACCCCGCTGGAACCTTCTGCGAGCTCGGGCATGGAAGAGCTTGACAAGCTCATCAGTGGACATGTCAAGGAGAGCATCAAGATCAACACCCCTGAAGCTGAACTTCTTGAACGTTCTCTTCTTTGGCTGTCCTGCCGCGGTCTCTGGATCAACATCCGCCATGTCTGTTTGAGGAGATGGATTCTTTACTAATTAAATCTTGTTGTCATATTATGAAACTAGGGTTTAAGATGATCATTGCATGGAAAATCATGATCCTAGTGCATTTAATTTTTATTGAATACAATCAATTTTGCATTCCAACCATCACGTTGCATTCTAATCCATATAAAGAACATCGTTTTGCATATTTAATTCATTCAAATATCACGTCTATAATTAGGGTTTTTTTTTTTTTTTTTTTAAATCTAAATAGGGTTTTCTTAGGTAGAAAAATTCACTTTGGATATATTGGTTTCGGTTAAGACTAAGTAAGATAAATTTGAACAACTCATTCTCTGTTAACAAACCGTACGCTTGCGGTGTTTTAAATCGAAAGAATAATTTTGTAAACAAGTTTTTGGCAACCGTTGTCGGGGATTGAATATTCGTTTAATTTTATTTACATTGCCACTAATCGAAGATTAATATTTGTAGTTTTTTTATTATATTATTTCATTTCTTTTTATTTTTATTTTGCTTTGTTTTGTTATTTGCTTCATTGTAGTATCTAAGCACTCTTATTTATTTTTCTCGCAGATTTGCATGTTAAGGTCTGCTGAAGGAGACCTGATCCCAGTGGATCCAGAAATAGAACGAACTCCACATTGAATGTAGCGAGAAAATAGAGAAGCACAGCAACAAATGGCTAATACACAGAACAATCCCATTTGTTAAGCCAATGAAGGAGGGGCAGCGGATGAAGGCAATATGCTTGTAGGAGATTTTATGACCCTTCTGATAATTTAGAGCCAGTCGAGTATCATGTATCCACCGTTTGGGCAGTCTAACTTCCAATTGACGACTAACGTGATACAACTGTTTCAAAACGGACACAAAGTCTACGGAAGAACTGAAGAGAATCCAGATAGCACGTCTCTCACTTTTTGGAGACGTGCCAACACTTGAGATATCAAGGAATCTCGGACGATACAATCAAACTAAGGTTGTTCCCACATACACTGGACGACAAGGCAATTGAATGGCTAGATTTGTAACCAATCACCAGCATCACTACATGGAATGACCTAGCACAGGTCCACCAAGATTACAAAGCTCAAGCATGACATATTTGTTTTTCGTCAAGGCAATTCAGAGAACTTCGATGAAGTTTGGAATAGATTTAAAAATATGCTGCAGAAGTGTCCACATCATGGGAGTAGCAAGGGATTCCAGGTCTAATATTTCTATACGGGACTACTTCTAGCCTTTAAGAAAATGGTTGACTCCTATCTAACGGATCTCTATCCAAAAAGACAATTGATGAAGCACTGAAACAATTCGAGACAATAGGTACTACATCAGCTATGTGGACATCGGAATGAGCAGGTCAGAAGAGGACACCGGGAGTTTATGAAGTGGACGTTTATTCTGCCTTGTCTACCAAAATTGACTTATTATTTCACAAGCCGAAAAACATGTCACGATCAGCTAACCAGCACAGTCGAAGAAGGCCAGATATGAAGAATTTGGAGCCGAACATGTAACAGCAGAGTGTCTAATCTTGGAACAAGGAATAGAGTAGGCGGCTTTTGCTCAATGGGGACAGCGTTAGCATAACAGTTCATTTGAGGAAACATACAATCTGAGTTGGAAAAAGTACCCTAATTTCTCTTTGAGCAACCAAAATTAGAATAGGCCACAGGGTTAGTATCAGGAGCAAGAGAAAAAGCCTCAATTGGAAGAGATTTGATAAATTCATGGAGAAGACAAATCCATACATGGAGGCTAATAATCAATTCATGGGAAAAATCGAGGCCACTCTTCAAGATCAAAATGCAGCTATCAAAAATCTAGAAACTCAAATGGAACAAATGGCAGTTGCTTTGACTGGCAGAGCACCAGGAATTTGCCAAGTAGCATAGAAATAAACCCTAAAGAACATGCTAAGGCAAGTACAACTCGAAGTGGAAGAAAGCTACCTGAGATACATGTCAAAAGGTCGGGTTTAAATCGAGAAACAACATCTCCTGAGGTAGAAGAGACTGTGGAGCATAATGAGCAGATAAAGGAATCTACCAAAGGGAAAGAACCAGGAAAATCACAGGATAAAATAACAGCAACCGTCAACCCTCATGAGCCTCCCATACCATTTTCACAGCAGCTAAAGAAGCAAAAGTTGGAGCAACAATATAAAAAGTTTCTTGAAGTTTTCAAGAAGCTGCACATAAACATCCCATTCGCCTAAGCATTAGTCTAGATGCCTAGCTATGCAAAATTCCTAAAGGACATCCTATCAAACAAATGCAAGGTGGAGGAACACGAGATGGTCATGCTAACTAAGGAGTGCAGCGCCAAAATTCCAAAGAAACTCCCAACTAATTGAAAGATCCAGGGAGTTTTATTGTTCTTTGCACTATTGGTGAAGTTTATTTTGATAAAGCTTTATATGATCTAGGTGTAAGTATGAATTTGATGCCTCTATCTATTTTCAGGGAGAGGGAAAAGCTACAATAGTAACGTTGCAATTAGCTGACGTTTGCACATCCAAGAGGAATAATAGAGAACGTGCTTATCAAAGTAGAAAAATTTATATTCCCTACGAATTTTCTCATTCTGGATATGGAAGAAGATAAATACATCCCACTGATACTTGGCAAATCGTTCTTAGCAACAGGAAGAGCTTTAATTGATGTTTAGAATGGACAATTGATTTTGAGATTGGGAGAAGAGCAAATTTTGTTTAATTTCTTCAAGTCGACGAAACTACCAACGAGTCAATTAGCTATTACCAGATCAACGTGATTGACAAGGTGGTTCAAGAGTCATTTTTGCTATACAATCCATTAGATGCTTATGAAACTTGCATTGTACACTCTCAGTCAATGCATTCGGATTCAGTGGAGATGGAAACATGTGCAAGGTTATTGGATACCAACCCACTGTATAAGATGGCATTTTGAGGAGCTTGGGACAGAATTCACGAAGCCACTACCATCCATTCAGCGGCCACCAAAATTGATTGGGACCGCATGAAATTCACTATAATTTAAAACTTGTGTATAGTTATTTTATATTCTATAGTTTATTATAGTCCCATAAATGAATATATACCTAAACCATTGATAAAATAATTTAATTAGTAAATATTTTAAATTATATATTATTTTTAAGGCAATTCAAGTCTTCAATTTCGATAGTCATGTAACAAAGATCAACGCTTTTTCTGTTTTCATGTCTTACAATGACTGTCTTTTGTTGATGATAGCAAATAGAGATTCAAAACTAGCTTCCCATTATTGAGAGGAACTTCAAGCAGGCTTCCAAGCTTCATCATTACTCAATGCATGTTGCTCCATACTCGTAAGGCGTTGTTTCATGTTCTAAGCTAGTGAAAGGAGGAATTATGTGGTTTTTCTTTTGAAACTTAAACTTTGGGACCAAGTTTGACTGATATATTAGTTTTGGATTAAAGGCACTAGAATACACAGCCTTCTCGTTGGATATTTTGACACTAAATAAACTTGAGGTTATGATAATTAGTGAAATTTTAGATTTATCCAATTTATTTTGACCCAACGTATGGAATTAGACAATCAAAAGCCACAAGTTACTTTTTGAACGAATATATATACCTAAACCATTGATAAAAATAATTTAATTCATGGATATTTTAAATTTTATTCTATTTTTAACGCAATTCAAATCTTCAATTTCGGTAGTCATGTAACAACCATCAACACGCTTCCGTATTCAGGTTCCACAATGATTGTCACTTTTTGAAGTTATAGTGCATTTTTTGTTGATGATGATAGCAGATAGAGATTTAGAACTAGCTTTCCATTACTGAGAGGAACTTCAAGCAGGGCTACCAAGCTTCAACGTCATCAATGCATGTTGCTCCATACTCGAAAGGCATTATTTCCTTTGTCGAGCTGGTGAAAGGAGGAATTCTGTGTTTTTCTCTTTTAAAACATAAACTTTGGAGCCCGTTTTGACTGATATAACAATTTGGGATTAAGGGCACTAGAATACGCAGACCAAATAAACCTGAGGTTATGATGATTAGTGAAATTTTAGATTTAGCCAATTTATTTTGACCCAACATACGAAATTATATAATCAAAAGCAACAAGTTACTTTTAATTGTTTCTAGATGGTTAATCAAACAAGTCAAATAATCCTATGTTGAACTATTTCAATTTGTAATATGTAAGCAATAAACAACACAAAATATGCTGACGAAAAAACCTAATTAGGTAGAAACTCCAAGACCAAGCCAGTAACATCCACTATAGACAATAATGAACATATAGTACGGTCCAACTTAAAAATCCCACTAAACTCCTTGATTTATTCCAGATATGCTAGAATTGTCTATTGTCGATCACCAAGAACACCTTGTTCTTGTACTCTTCCTAGGCTTCTAGTAAAACCTCCCTCAAACTTCAACAACATTTAAATGCTATTTAGGAAAACCTTCCCCTATGTGAATAGGAAGTCAATGTTTTGGATTTTGTGAATTTTTTATGCTTTTCCAAAGTTGTTGAATGATCTCAAGGCTCAAAGGATCAATCTCAAAGTTTGAATGTGTAAGGGATCTCAGGAATATGATATGGCAAAGGATTATAATAAACAAACACCGTACGAAACGTGTTAGGGCTTGAATATATATAGTAGAAGGCATTTATGTAGCGTGAGCTAAATAAAACTCTTGAAAAACACGAACTAGAATTTTATGCATAGCACTGTCGCTTAAGCACCATGCTAGTGACAAGTGAGCTACAGCTATGTCACTCAAGCGAAAGTTGGGTGATAGGCGGGCAACAATTTTTGTTTGTTTGCTCGAGAATGAATGCTCATCATTTTTCTTTTCAATTTTTTTTACTTCGTATGTGCAGGTTGTTCTCCATTAAGCGACTAAAATGACTCATGTAATGAGCTTGAGGCTGGTTGACCTAAGTCAATTAACCATAGGCACCAGGTTATGAGAAACCTCTTACACTTAATTTCTCAAGTTAAATAGGCTTCGAAGCAGAG